TTGATCCAGGGGATCCTACATTGATCCAGGGGATCCCACATTGATCCAGGAGGACCTGAATCGAACCAGGGGATCCCAGATTAATCTGGGGGGTTCCGTATTAACCCGAGGGGGTTGGTATTGATCCAGGGGATCCCACATTGATCCAGGGGATCCCACATTGATCCAGGGGGATCCCACATTGAGCCAGAGGGTCCCAGATCGAGCCAGGGAATCCCAGATTAATCTGGGGGGTTCTGTACTAATCCGGGGGGGGGTTAGTATTGATCTGGGGGATCCCACATTGATCCGGGGGATCCCACATTGATCCAGGGGATCACACATTGAGTCAGGGGGGCCTGGATCGAGCCAGGTGGTCGCAGATTAATCTGGGGTGTTCCGTATTAATCGGGGTGGGGGTGAGGGTGGTATTGATCCAGGGGATCCCACATTGATCTGGAGGATCCCACACTGATCCAGGGGATCCCACATTGATCCAGGGGTGCCTGGATTGAACCAGGTGGTCCCAGATTAATCTGGGGGGTTCCATACTAATCCAGGGGGGTTAGTATTGATCCAGGGGATCCCGCATTGATCTGGGGGATCCCACATTGAGCCAGGGGGACCTGGATCGAACCAGGGGATCCCAGATTAATCTGGTGGGTTCCGTATTAACCCGAGGGGGTTGGTATTGATCCAGGAGATCCCACATTGATCTGGAGGATCCCACACTGATCCAGAGGATCCCACATTGATCCAGGGGGATCCCACATTGAGCCAGAGGGTCCCAGATCGAGCCAGGGGATCCCAGATTAATCTGGGGGGTTCCGTACTAATCCGGGGGGGGTTAGTATTGATCCAGGGGATCCCACATTGATCTGGAGGATCCCACACTGATCCAGGGGATCCCACATTGGTCCAGGGCATCCCACATTGAGTCAGGGGATCCCGGATTGAACCAGGGGATCCCAGATTATATCGGGGGTTCCATATTGATCCAGAGGGATTGGTACTGATCCAGGGGATCCCACATTGAGCCAGGGGATCCCACATTGAACCAGGGGATCCCAGATTAATCTGGGGGGTTCTATACTAATCCAGGGGGATTAGTATTGATCCAGGGAATCCCACATTGATCCTTGGGATCCCACATTAAGCCAGGGGGACCTGGATCGAACCAGAAGATTCCAGATTAATCTGGGGGGTTCCATATTGATCCGGGGGGATTGGTATTGATCCAGGGGATCCCATATTTATCCAGGGGATCCCACATTGAACCAGAGGGTCCCAGATCGAACCAGGGGATCCCAGATTAATCTGGGGGGTTCCGTACTAATCCGGGGGGGTTAGTATTGATCCAGGGGATCCCACATTGATCCAGGGGATCCCACATTGATCCAGGGGGACCCAGATTGAACCAGAGTATTCCAGATTAATCTGGGGGGTTCCATATTAATACGTGGGATTGGTATTGATCCAGGGGATCCCACACTGATCTGGAAGATCCCACACTGATCTGGAGGATCCCACATTGATCCAGGGGGATCCCACATTGATCCAGGGGATCCCTAAACTGGAGGGATCACAGGCTTTGGGCTATCCCAGATTTTTGGGTGATCCCAGCTGGATCCGGGGGATCCTGATTGATCTGGGGGGGTGAAGGGTCGTTCTGGGGTTTCCCAGGATTGATCCAGGGGGGTCCCGGCTTTGGGGTGCTCCCAGATTTTGGGGGGTCCCTACCATGGTGCTCCTCGATTTGGGGCTTGGGTTTCTTTCGCAATTTGGGTTTCTTCTGATTGGTCCTTTCCAGGAGGTGACGGATGTGCCGCGTCACTGGGGAGAAACACACGGAGGGGGGGCCGGGAACACGGAATGTGAGGCTGGAAAAGGAACTCGGTGGGAGGGAACAATGGGGGGAGGGGGAGGGAAATCATGGAAGAAAAATAAAGGGAACAGAAATAAAATGGAAATGAAAATAAAAAATAAGGAAAGTAAAAAAACAAAAATAAAAAATGAAACTAAAAAAACAAAAATAAAAAATGAAAATAAAAAATGAAAATGAAATTAAGTAAAAAAATTAAATTAAATAAAATTAAAACTATAAAAATAAATTAAAATTAAGGCAGGAAATAAAAAAATCAAGGAAATCGAAATAAAAATTAAATGAAATTACAATGAGGGATCTAGAAATAAAAGGGAATTGAAGTTAAAAGTAAAAACTAAGAAGAAAATAAAGAAAAATAAAAATGCCAAAATGAAAGGGAGTTCGAATTAAAAAAAAAAAATACGGAAAAGATTTAAAAATAAAAAATTGAAGAAAGCTGAAAATTAAAAGAATAAAATAAAACTAAAACGAAAATAAAAAACGAAGGGAAACGACAATGGAATGCAAATACAAACAAATTCTATGCAAACGAAGATGCAAATTAAAATCAATGTAACGATGGAACCAATCAATGACTTGACACAAAACCAACGAAACACCTGAAAATAAAACACGAAACTCAAAACGACAAAAAAATCGGGACCAAACCCAGCGGGGCGACACTGATTGGACAGGAGGGGTTGGGGGGTGGAGCCTCTCCCGGGGGAGCTCCGGGTGTTGAATCCGGTGGGAAATGAGTTGGAGACCTCGAAAGGGTGGGACATCTCCTCGGGGGATGGGAGAAGTTTCAGGAACTCGCTCACGGACACCCCCGGTGGAGGCGACGTCCATCCCGCGGCAACGACGTCCGAGCTCATTCCCGGTCGGAGCTCACGTCGGATTTCCCGGCAGGAGGAGGGTGGGAAAACCCCTGCTGGGGGCGGGTCTTGGATGAGCTCCTCACCCGCCTTTCCAAGGAGAAACTCAACGGATGGGAAAGGAACCAAAGTGGAACAAAGACCCGGGCTGGGACGTCGCGGAATCGTGGAATGGGTTGAGTTGGAAAGGACCTTAAAACTCATCTTGTTCCAACCCCTGCCACGGGCAGGGACACCTTCCACTAGACCAGGTTGCTCCTAAACCTCATCCAACACGACCTTGGACACCTCCAAGGACGGGGCGGTCACAGACGCCGCCGGGCCGTGGTTTTCTCACTTACCTTTCGTGTCATTCACCGGGTCCATGTGCCGGTAAATGTATCCTTCTAGGTAGGAATGGAATTTGGGAGTGGGGGGGAAAAAGGCCAAACAAATGGCCATGAGCTCCCAGCCCCGGGCCAGGCTCTCGTAACGGAAGTTCTCGGTGGTCTGCCGGCACAGCTGGATGTAGAGCTCGTCTCGCAGCCCCTGCACGCTCCAGCCCTTGGTGGCGATCTCCAAGGCCACGTTGAGCTGGTCCGTCTTGGCCCGCCGGTCGCCCATGTACATCTGGATGAGCTTGAAGATCTCGCACGCCTCCTTCTTGACGTTGCGGTCGTTGGTCATGATCATGGGTTTCTTGATGGATTCGCTGCTCCAGGCCAACATGTTGGCGATGGAGACCTTGCGGCGGAAGAGCCCTTGGGTGTGCTTGTTGAAGTGCTTGGAGGCCCAGTTCTCAATGTCCGTCTCCGAGGAGGGTTTGCGCAGGTTGAAGGTGGGGAAGACGCAGCTGGCGCTCGGCATCATGTTCCTGGTCTGGCGGCTGCTCTCGAACTGGGCGCAGGCGCCGAGGTCCTCGGACTGCGGGACGACACCGCGCAAGGGAGCGTTACTGGTGGAAGGGCGGGGATGGTAAAGGGGCTGAGCCACTGAGAGACCGGGCAACCGAGTGGCCAACTGAGCAACCAACTGAGCAACCAACCAACCAACTGAGCAACCAACTGAGCAACCAACCAACCAACTGAGCAACCAACTGAGCAACCAACCAACCAACTGAGCAACCAACTGAGCAACCAACCAACTGAGCAACCAACCAATCAACCAACTGAGTAACCAACTGAGCAACCAACCAATCAACCAACTGAGCAATCAACCAACCAAGCAACCAATCAACTGAACAACCAACCAATCAATCAACCAACCAATCAACCAACCAACTGATCAAACAATCAACTGATCAACCAACCAATCAACCAATCAACCAATCAACCAGTCAACCCACCACCCCATCAACCCACCAACCAACCAATCAACCAACCAGCCAACCTATCAACCAACCAACCAACGAACCAACCCACCCACTAACCAACCAGCCAACCCACCAACCCACTAACCAACCAACCAACCAAGCAGCCAACCCACCAACCAATCAACCAAC